ATAAAATAATACAAATAACAATGTACTATTATATTACACTATTATTATTAAAATTATTACTGTAATCTTGCTGCTAAGCTGGATTTCTGCCATGCTGCAAATTAAGAAAGAGCAACATATGCAATCGCAGTAATAAGAGCATTTTGTCCTGAAAGTGGTTATGATTTTTAAAACCGCATTGAATGTTGCTTTTACTTGCGTTTGCACCATAAAAATACAAAGGGCTTAAGGTACAGTAAAATGGGCAACACAAAACATTGCTGCAAAATGAGTTGAATAGCGATATGGCACATTTAACCACACACATCAAACCTGTTTTGTAACAAATCAGGTTGTTAACAGGTTTGAACGTGGGTGGTAAACTGCGCAACATCGCTATTCAACTTGTTTTGCTGCAATGTTGCAAAAGAAGTTGCTCATTTTTGTTGCCTGTTTTAGCATACCTTTAAAGGTAATAACTATACATAAACAATGTCTCACCTTACTGGTATCTTGCAAGGAAACTCCTTGATCTTTGTAACATTATTAGAGTGTCAAAGGTGTTCACACACAAATTCTTCTTTTCCAATCTTGCAGCCCCATTTATAACTTGCAATTGTACATGTCACAGCCAGGAGTGAGCTTTCCCAAATGGTGATAATTAACAATTTTGCATCAGTCTCCTCCAACCATGGATCCATGGCCTTCATCAGCCTCACATGGTATAGATCACATCCACCATTTACTTCACACCAGTTCTCTAAGGTTGTTTACACATTTTGTCCATGGAAGACTTGCAGATCCGTCCCTCTTTTGTCCTCTTGCTTTTGGCACAATTACACCAGTCCCTCAAATGGGATAACTCTGAGAACAGCAACAACTTCCAAAAGACACAGTTGCAGTTCTTGACATCACTAACTTTGTACTAGTTAAGGTTTTAGAGCACAGAAATTCTTCAACTTCTATTTATATTTCTTTGAACAATATGCAGTTTACAACAAAATATAACTGCGTCTGTAACTTCCTTCTGAGCAACTTGACATCTCAAAACACATGCCACACCTAAACATCATTGTTTTCCATCATCTTTTTGTTTGTTCTGTTTCATCAACTCCAAAATTTTGTGTAAAAAAATTACTCTTGATGTTAGTTAACTGTACGACAGTGTCACTATGTAAAAGCTCAAACATGCTTTATTCTTACAAAAAGAAACAGAAGACCATGTTGAGGTGAACTTGTGAAATATAAATTATATAAGTTTAACCTTGCATTTATATAACTACCAATGGAGCATTTTTTGTGAATGTTCTTACAAACTACAAACAGCTGTCAATTTTTGACTACCTGGAAGATATATTCTTACCAAATTATAAACAAATTGTAATAAGATTTACTGTTTCATGAGCCCAGCTTGTCTTCAGTAAACGGAGACAGTTGACCAATGGGAGAAGCACCACTTGCGTCCAATGTTGCCATGGTTACACCAGTCCAATCAGAGCTGGTTTAGAGCAACACGGAGGATTGGTGCATTGGTTGGTAAGGAGGTAGTAGACTGCTGGAGTTAGCAAGACAGCACGGAGAGAGAAAGAAAAAAATCAAGTCAATNACGGAGACAGTTGACCAATGGGAGAAGCACCACTTGCGTCCAATGTTGCCATGGTTACACCAGTCCAATCAGAGCTGGTTTAGAGCAACACGGAGGATTGGTGCATTGGTTGGTAAGGAGGTAGTAGACTGCTGGAGTTAGCAAGACAGCACGGAGAGAGAAAGAAAAAAATCAAGTCAATTAAATGTTCTACATTCCACTGATTCCTGAAAAGAATATCACGTCGTAAATGAAACTTGAGAGGGTAGATGGCACTCAGTGTAAGTAATGTATGAAGTACCACGCAAAGTAGCTAGGACAAACATGGCCTGTGTATATTTGCACGCTTAGGGCAGTTGCTGACCTGACTTAACCCTTTAAGCCCCAGTATCCACATACAAATTCTCCAAACTGATCTCCATACATTTCCTTTAAGAATTAGTTGAGAGAATTTAATAAAAAAACATCAAGGCATTTTCTCTTTTGTGATCATTTTTTATATTCTCACAACCTCATCTCTTGACAATGTATGGACACTGTTAGGAGAAAATTGCTGTTGGTCACTATTGGGACTTAAAGGGTTAACACCTGTCAAAAGTCTCCATATGAAAGCACGCTTAAAAGAGAACTTAAGAAAACAATGCCCACAACAAGTAAAATGAAAACAACAAAATACTGCGTTAATACACTCAGAAAGTTAAGAAATCGGATATCTTGTAGAGAAACAAGTTTCCCGTAAAACCACATTCTAAGAAATAATTCCCACATTTCGTACTAAAGAACATTCACTATGAACCAGACCAAATTATTGCTTCTCACAGTTGGAGGTAGTCAGAAAAAATGCCATACTTCACAAAGCAATTATTTCATAATTATTTTTACAATTTCTTATAAGCTCATATGCCAAAACAGTGCATTAGACATGTTCCTATTACTTTGAAAGTAAACCTATTTTGCAGCAATTTGTTTCTGAAAGGGTCTGCACTAATCCCATCTGATTAACCCTTTTCCCCTTAATAGCAAAATACAAGTTCTCTTTTCTTGTACCTTCGCTGTCATTAAAGCAGAGTAATGAGTAACCTTTGGAAAAGAAGGAACTGGGTTTGATACCTGCTAACCCTCTTTTTTTAAATGTTTTATAAAGCATGGGTTGTAATTGGGAGGAATTTGATACTGATTGTTCTTAGGGCTTTTTAAAAAGGTTAAATAGGACATTATGCTCAGAAAAATACTGCAGAAAACGTGCTCTGTTTTGACATATGATAATTTTCTAATATTGGTTAAGCCAAATTAATTTCTTTGCTATTTCTATCCATTCATAAGTGGTTTATGGTTGATCGAGTTTTACTAGTAATGAATATTTTTTAATGGTTGGTAGTATTAAACATTGAAAATCACAACATGGGAAAATACAAACATGAATATCTCACTTTTACAATGCAACCATTCAATAATTTATTGAATTGTCACAAAATTGCATAATTTCAAAACAACTGGTATTTTTAAAATTTCATCTTATGGTAATCTCATTATGAAATTTATGTGCTTAATCTCAGTAAGAAATAACAATAGTCCCAGAATCGTGTCTGTAAAAGTTTTAATTTTGCCTGTGGCTACTGAGCCAACCTTACATGCTATACAGCACTTATAGCACGTAACAAACAGTAACAAGAAGTGAACATGTCAGTTAGAAGTCACTGCACAATGAACTATTTAGCTGTCCAAGCACGTGGCTTTTTTACAGACCATTCATTGCCAGTGCAGTCTAACCTCTCCTTAAGGACACCTCTATAATACGAACACCTCTCTACTGCGGACAGTTCGTGTGGTCCCAGAAATGCCAAAAAACATACATTCCCTACCTCTATAATACAGACACCTCTGTAAAGCGGATTCTGACCCTTTGGTGTCCGTGTTAAAGAGGTTTGACTGTAAGTTCATGTCCTCTCCTAAGAGGACTATTTCCAATTCATGCAATACACATTTGGAGGCAAATCTGTCCCAATAGGCCCTTTGCAGCTAGCCATTCACGAGGTACAAAACCGCCATGCTGGAGAGCAAAAGTCATACTGAGACAACACAAAAAAAAGGCATACATAATTTTAAATGGTAATTTCCTTTGTTTGACTTGTTCCAGTGCACCTTTCGCTCTCCAGCATGGCGGTTTTGTACCAAGTAAATGGCTGCAAAGGGCCTATATAATTACAGGGCTATCATTTAGGATTGGGGGGCTAAGGAATTCTTCTGGCTAATATGAATGTGACCCCTGGCTACTATTGTGGGAAGTTAGAAGATAAACAGAACCAAAAAAATGCCAGCTGTTTGATTCCCTGCCTACTAGTTGTATCTACCTGGCAACTTAACAGCCTCTCTGTTAACGTTCTATTTTGTCACTGTCAGACAACTTCCTTCTCCCTACCCCAACATTAACAGGTTAAAAAGTTATAACTCAGTTCCATAAGTCAACCCAACACGACTACCAATAAGGTTTTGTACCTTATTCTCCCTTAACTTCACGAATATTAAATTTCGCGGAAAACCATGGACCATATTTTGCAATTTTTCCCTAATCAGAGTAATCACAGAAATTGGCCAGTGTCTTAACTAAAGCTGGTACAAATATGTCTTAGCAGAGATACTTTCCTTGACAGGCTTTTAGCCAGACATTGAAAACTGACCGTCCAGAAGGTATGTTTTCCCTTAAAATCATGAGATTAAGTGAATTTCCCTTGAATTTCTTCCAAAAATGGTCATCCATAGGAGAGATGGGCACCCTTCTGGCTAAAACCTTGCTCCTTGTACATACCTTAAAACTAATAGACATCTTGTTGACAAGAAAATCTCTTTATAATTCCAAGTTACTTCACTTTGACAAGCAGTTTTTTTGACTTTGTCACAAGGGGTTAAATTTTATTTCACTAACACAATGACACTTCAAAGTTAATGTTCGTTGGTTAAATATTTCAACTAATTTCCCAGCCAAACATTTTCCGGTATTTCAATCTTGCAAATTTTGCTCTTATGAAATTACTGCTGGTTTAATTGAATGACATTAAAATACTTAGAAATGCCGGGAAATGTGTTTCATATCATCAACCTGATTGGCACATCGATGATGGGATTTTTAACTGGCGAATCATGGTGCATACTCAAATCCTGGTGCAACGGTGGGAAACAAGAACAAGGATTTCAGTGCTGTTTTGCAGATGGACTTAAACAGATGTTTACTTTCCTTCTGTGGCACAGACTAAGATTAAGTCTAAGAACAAACTGTTTCAGCCTTTGGTTTAGTTTACCAATTCGCCGAACCATTTAGTCCTGGAAATTTTGAAGAGTTTGTACTCTTGAAGTTCCATAAAAGGGCAGCAGCAAGAAACTGCACTTCTTCAAAGAGAACTTTTAAGTTTCATCTCATTGCAAACTAAAGTTCAAATATTTACCTTCCGTTTCTTTTCTGTTTAATATGATGAAAGACGTTAATCACATCCCGAATTCTTCTTGGGTATTCCTCGATTTTTGCAGCAAGAAAAATGCTTGCCATAGCATAAATCTGAAATGCAATTTACGGGAAGAGGGTAATTCAATAACTGAATAAATTGACTAAAATACACTGTATGGACCGAAAATATGAAGCAAAACTGTTTTGAGGGAGAAAAATGAAAGCATTTAGCAATTTAAACTAAAAAGAACACATTTTCCACGTGCTTGAATGCACGCTCATTATAAAGCAGCTTTAACTTTGCGAATAATTTGACATTTTTGTACAACAAAGAAGAGAAAAATACATTTACAAAGTTTTACAAAACCTTAATTGGTTAAAAGCCAAAAAGGAGGTTCTGTGTCCAAACCTTTAGACCGGAAGTAAAGGAAAAATGAAAGGGTATAAAAAAGTTAAGCTAAAATGTCTTACTTTCTTGTTGAATTATTATTTGCAGAGATGTGCTTACCTCAGCATCGTGTTTAACAAGCGACTTACTGTAGTAAAAGCGTTGAAACAACACTTGCGCTGTAGCCATAGCTACCTGAAGGTTCCAAAGCAAACATATTCAGCTAAACATTCACAATACAGGAAAGTTTTAAACAACGAAAACCAGAATCAACTTACCTGAGGAAGTTTGAGCAAGATGCCCGCCATTTGAATATACTCGCAACTGACGATTCGCAAATCAATTTCTACTTCTCTATCTAATCCATCTTTAATTGAAGGTGTANATGTGTAGGGAACAACACTTCTGAGGCATACAAGTCTAAAGGTTTTAACTTTGACTAAGGGGTATATCGTGGCAGTCTGTGGCTATGAGCTCGTTAAATGAAATAAAAACTGCTTCTTTGGGATGGTGTCGATTCACCATTGGTAAAACTGGTGTACAACCTACTCTTAAGATACAGTGACATCTACAACTATCTTGAGGATACAACTATCAGAAAGGGGGGCTCTTCAATTCCTTCAATATGGCATATTTAAGGAAAAAGTCTATGTCATATGACTTTCGATTGTCGTCTGTGGAGAAAAAACTCTGCAAAAACGCCGTGCGATCACAATTTTTGATCAATTCAGGCTTTTAGGCAATGGTGTATGAATCCAACTCAAGATGACTGCACGCACGGCTAACAGACGACTCACGCACGGCTAACTGGAGGCTTTTCAAACCGCTGAAAAGATCGTTTTCATGTAATGATTCGCATTTGTATGGTAAAAAACAGCTGTTGATAATTGGACAATAGTTGCAAGAGTGTTATCATTTGAACTTGCTTGAAAAGGTGCCCCTTCTCACCCCTTTAAACACACAAATGCACAGAAGGCAGCTTCAACACAGGACACCCAACAATAGCCCGCCATATTTGGAAGGAGGGGTCACGTGACACCAAAGAAAGCATGACAGTAAAGCAAATGTCTTCTTCCACAATATCTACGACTTTTATTTACAGAAACACTCAAAAATGGTATTTTTGAAGGATTTCCACTAACAGCCTTGTTTTCATGTAGGCCATTTTAGGGCCTGCGCAGTACTCGTGTCCAGTGTTGAATTTGGCTTGGCTCCATATCCAAAAATGTTAGTCTTAGGGTTGGTTGTAACCTGGCAAAGTTTCATGCTTTTATCATAAAAGTGAACAATTTTGGTCGATAACAGCTGGACTAATATGAAAGCACGCTTAAAAGCGAACTTTAGAAAACAATGTCCACAACAAGTAAATTAATGAAAACAACAAAATACTGCATTAATACAGTCAGAAAGTTAAGAAATTGGATATCTTGTAGAGATACAAGTTTCCCATAAAACCACATCTAAATAATAATTCCCACATTTCATACCATGAACCAGACCAAATTATTACTTCTGCAGTTGGAGGTAGTCAGAAAAAAATGCCATACTTCACAAAGCAATTCTTTCATTATTATTTTTACAATTTCCTGTCAGCTCATAAGCCAAAACAATGCATTAGACATGTTCCTATTACTTTGACAAATAAACTTATTTTGCAGGCATTTGTTTCTGAAAGGGTTTCCGCTAATCACACCCAATTAACCCTTCTAAATACAAGTTCTCTTTTCTTATACCTTCACTGTCATTAAACCAAAGTACAGGGAGGTGTTCTTAGCCTCTCTGATTGGTTGAGCAATGTTATTTCAAGGAGAAATTTTATCTTGATCACTAAACACAAGATTGGGGTTATGAAAGGTCTTTTTGCAGGGGTAAGCCTGCATTTTTTACGCTCTATGATATCATTGGCATAAGAGTGAATGATGGTAAGGTCATTTCTATTGTTCTTGTACATGCAGAAATATGTAACCTTTGGAGCCGAAGGGACTGGGTTTGATACCTGCTATCCCTCTTTTTTTAAAATCTGTTTTATAAAGCCTGGTTGTGAAAAGGAGGAATTTGATACTGATTGTTCTTAGAACTTTTTAAAAAGGTTAAATAGGACATTTTGCTCAGTTATTTTATCATATTGCAGAAAATGTGCTCTGTTTTGACATATGATAATTTTTCAATATTGGTTAAGCCAAATTAATTTCTTTGCTATTTCTATCCATTCATAAGTGGTTTACGGTTGATTGAGTTTTACTAGTAATGAATATTTTTTAATAGTTGGTAGTATTAAACATTGAAAATCACAATGTGGGAAAATACAAACATGAATCTCTCACTTTTACTATGTAACCATTCAATAATTTATTGAATTGTCACAAAATTGCATAATTTCAAAACAAATGGTATTTTTAAAATTTCATCTTATGGTAATCTCATTACGAAATTTATGTGCTTAAACTCAGCAAGAAATAAGAATAGTCCAAGAATCGAGTCTGTAAAAGTCTTAATTTTGCCTATGGCTGCCAAGCCAACCTTACCTGCTATAAAGCACTTATAGCACGTAACAAACAGAGACAAAAAGTGCACACGTCAATTAGAAGTCACTGTACAATGAACTATTTAGTTTTGCAAGCACATGGCTTTTTTACAGACCATTCATTGCCAGTACAGTCTAACCTCTCCTTCAGGACGCTTTAATAATACGGACACCTCTCTATTACGGACAGTTCGTTTGGTCCCAGAAATGCCAAAAAACATACATTCCCTACCTCTATAATACAGACACCTCTGTAAAGCAGATTCTGACCCTTTGGTATCCGTGTTAAAGAGGTTTGACTGTAAGCTCATGTCCTCTCCTGAGAGGACTATTTTCAATTCATGCAATACACATTTGGAGGCAAATCTGTCCCAATAGGCCCTTTGCAGCTAGACATTCACGAGGTACAAAACCGCCATGCTGGAGAGCAAAAGTCACACTGAGAAAAGACAAAAAAAAGGCATACATAATTTTAAATGGGAATTTCCTTTGTTTGACTTGTTCCAGTGCACCTTTGGCTCTCCAGCATGGCGGTTTTGTACCAAGTAAATGGCTAGCTGCAAAGGGCCTAGATAATAACAGGGCTATCATTTAGGACTGGGGGGCTAAGGAATTCCTCTGGCTAATATGAATGTGACCCCTGGCTACTATTGTGGGAAATTAGAAGATAAATAGAACCCAAAAAAATGCCAGCTGTTTGATTCCCTGCCTACTAGTTGTATCTACCTGGCAACTTAACAGCCTTTCTGTTAATGTTCTATTTTGTCAGTGTCAGACAACTTCCTTCTCCCTACCCCCAACATTACTGAACATTAACAGGTTAAAAAGTTTTAACTCAGTTCCATAAGTCAACTCAACATGACTACCAATAAGGTGTTGTACCTTATTCTCCCTTAACTTCGCGAGTATTAAATTTCGCGGAAAATCATGGACCATATTTGCAATTTTTCCCTAATGAGAGTAATGACAGAAATTGGCCAGTATCTTAACTAAAGCCGGTACAGATATGTCTTAGTAAAGATACTTTCCTTGTCAGGCTTTAAGCCAGACATTGAAAACTGACCGTTCAGAAGGCATGTTTTTCCTTAAAATCATGAGATTAAGTGAATTTTCCTTGAATTTCTTCCAAAAATGGTCATCCGTAAGACGGCTGAGCACCCTTCTGGCTAAAACCTTGCTCCTTGTACATACCTTAAAACTAATAGACATCTTGTTGACAAGCAAATCTCTTTATAATCCCAAGTTACTTCATTTTGACAAGCAGTTTATTTGACTTTGTCACAAGGGGTTAAATTTTATTTCACTAACACGATGACACTTCAAAGTTAATGTCCGTCGGTTAAATATTTCAACTAATTTCCCAGCCAAATATTTTCAGGTATTTCAATCTTGCAAATTTTGCTCTTACGAAATTACTGCTGGTTTTAATTGAATGACATTAAAATACTCAGAAATGCCGGGAAATGCGTTTCATATCTTCAACCTGATTGGCACAGCAATGATGGGATTTTTAACAGGCGAATCATGGTGTATACTCAAATCCTGGTGCAAGGGTGGGAAACCAGAACAAGGATTTCAGTGCTGTTTCGCAGACGGACTTAAACAGATGTTTACTTTTCTTCTGTGGCGCAGACTAAGATTAAGTCTAAGAACAAAATGTTTCAGCCTTTGGTTTAGTTTACCAATTGCCGAACCATTTAGTCCTGGAAATTTTGAAGAGATTGTACTCTTGAAGTTCCATAAAAGTACAGAAACTGCACTTCTTCAAAGAGAACTTCTGAGTTTCATCTCATTGCAAACTAAAGTTCAAATATTTACCTTCCGTTTCTTTTCTGTTTAATATGATGAAAGACGTTAATCACATCCCGAATTCTTCTTGGGTATTCCTCGATTTTTGCAGCAAGAAATATGCTCGCCATAGCATAAATCTGAAATGCAATTTATGGGAAGAGGGTAATTCAAAAAGAGTTTCACAAGTTAGCTCGTTGGTTTTATTACTGAATAAAGTGACTAACATACACTGTATGGACCGAAAATGTGAAGAAAAACTGTTTTGAGGGGGAAAAATGAAAGCATTTAGCAATTTAAACTAAAAAGAACACATTTTCCACGTGCTTGAATGCACGCTCATTATAAAGCAGCTTTAACTTTGCGAATAATTTGACATTTTTGTACAACAAAGAAGAGAAAAATACATTTACAAAGTTTTACAAAACCTTAATTGGTTAAAAGCCAAAAAGGAGGTTCTGTGTCCAAACCTTTAGACCGGAAGTAAAGGAAAAATGAAAGGGTATAAAAAGGTTAAGCTAAAATTTCTTACTTTCTTGTTGAATTATTATTTGCAGAGATGTGCTTACCTCAGCATCGTGTTTAACAAGCGACTTACTGTAGTAAAAGCGTTGAAACAACACTTGCGCTGTAGCCATAGCTACCTGAAGGTTCCAAAGCAAACATATTCAGGATTTGTAAGTGTTATGTCCTTTCAAAATTTGTTGCTTTTGGTCTTAGTTGAATGGACTCCTTCAAACTCGTTCTACGGGCGGTAAACTTATATGAGCGTTGACTGCTAAGCGTTTAGTTAAAGATGAAGATTATCTAATCCATCTTTAATTGAAGGTGTATTTTCTATGTGTTCTGGGCTTAAAATACAGTTTTCTAAGGAAATTATCACATCTCCGTACTCTCCTTTACCGGCGACTGCTGCCATTTTGGATTTTTGCTAGATCTTCCTTCAAACGTTTCCCGAACGTCACTTTTCGATTATGATGTCATGTACGGAAGAACACGTGCACGGTCATTACCTTATTTGGGGTTCGTAGGATAACCGAAGATGAATCTTTTCCCGCCTGTTCAGTCGGCAATTGTCGTTAAGTAATCGGAAGGAAAATAAAAATGGCGGACGGATCGTGTCCTACAAACAAATGCAAGAATTGACCGTTCATTTTTTAAAACATGGACGATGAAGATGAAAAAGATAGTGCAGATGACATACTGACAGGATTCACTAATTTCGTGGACAATAATTTGCGAGTTATCAGGGTAAGCCATTCATGATCAGTCTTCTTTACACATGGCCAGTTGTTTGCAGCTGCTGGTTGGATGAACGAAAGCTGTTGAAAGCTTGAAACCTAATCGACAGCAAAAGATTTTGCGGCAAAAATAACTTGCTTGTCTTAGGCTCAGAAATCTGGGGACAAGTTCCGTAGGCCTTTTTCAAAAATACCATAATACTCTTTCTTGTCCCCCAAAATTTTGCATAAGCATTGTTTTCAATTTTTCTTGGGGTGGTTAAAATAAAGCTTAAGTTCCAAGAGGAATTGAAAACAATGCTTATGCAAATATTGGAGGGACAACAGAGAGTATTATGGTATTTTTGAAAAAGGCCTACAGGGCCACAACAATATAAACTAGACAACAAGGTCCTGGGTAGGGTCAAAAGGGGGCCAAAATGGTGTTAGATGTGGGGTCCAAGTGGGGAAGTTAATCGATGCAAGTTTGCCCAAAAATGACTAAAATGGACCCAAATCACTTTCCCTATACCTGAATCTGAATATTTTTAGAATCCTGTTTTAATAGGACAAAAAATGGACAAAATACATGTTTCTTTTTATTTGTTATGAGGGGCTTGGGACGGTTTCGCTCAATTTATGGTGCAGTTTTGTGGAAATTTTCAGGTCACATTTCACCAGTCAGCAGATAACAGACAAAACCAAAAGTGTGGGTTACAAGCACTTGCTGAAAACTTCAGATCTAACGGGTGATGCTTGATATACCAAGTCAATACTGTATATGCCCTATTGTCCTATTCTATTGTGTGACGTTTATTGTGTTACTGTGTAAGGGCTTGAGATCACTGTTGTGTTCCTTGTCATGACATAACTCAGGACATGCTATTCACTTGCTAGTTCAAATCACGGTAGACTCGAAGAATTTCAGCCAACTTTATTTTGAACGTCAAAAACGCACTACTTACACAATGTAAATCTTGTATCAACTTGTAGATAACAATTGTACTCAAATGACAGCAAACGAAGACATTGAGCGCAGACCTTGTGGTCAGTTCGTAGAAACTTGTATGTGGTTTTCTGGCAAATTACAGAGGTAAATATCACTCGAAGTTACCATAACAATTCTCAAATGTAGAAAAAAAGGCTAACTTACCNATTTTTAGAATCCTGTTTTAATAGGACAAAAAATGGACAAAATACATGTTTCTTTTTATTTGTTATGAGGGGCTTGGGACGGTTTCGCTCAATTTATGGTGCAGTTTTGTGGAAATTTTCAGGTCACATTTCACCAGTCAGCAGATAACAGACAAAACCAAAAGTGTGGGTTACAAGCACTTGCTGAAAACTTCAGATCTAACGGGTGATGCTTGATATACCAAGTCAATACTGTATATGCCCTATTGTCCTATTCTATTGTGTGACGTTTATTGTGTTACTGTGTAAGGGCTTGAGATCACTGTTGTGTTCCTTGTCATGACATAACTCAGGACATGCTATTCACTTGCTAGTTCAAATCACGGTAGACTCGAAGAATTTCAGCCAACTTTATTTTGAACGTCAAAAACGCACTACTTACACAATGTAAATCTTGTATCAACTTGTAGATAACAATTGTACTCAAATGACAGCAAACGAAGACATTGAGCGCAGACCTTGTGGTCAGTTCGTAGAAACTTGTATGTGGTTTTCTGGCAAATTACAGAGGTAAATATCACTCGAAGTTACCATAACAATTCTCAAATGTAGAAAAAAAGGCTAACTTACCGAACTGTTCAGCTTCAAAATGCTAATACGGGTAGAATATACTCAAATACTATCCTCGCTCACGATAACAAACTCGACCAAGGCAAAAATGTTTTTGAGTCACATGACAATAAACAAACAAATTACTCCAAAGGGGAGTGCACCAGCCGATTTAACACTTCAAAAAAGTAGTTCGATTTAGTTCCCTGTTTATATTGTGATGTGTTTGTGTCTCACAGAGTTTGGCTTGGATATTAGCAGGAGCTGGAGTTTTGCTCATTGTAAGAAGAACGCATGTGGTAAGCATAGTTTCACGTAGGTCCTCCAACACATACACAGAGTGCAAACTGAAAGAAAGTCAGCTTTACAGGTTGCCATTCAGGCAAGATGTAGCTAACGTGTACGAGCCCAAAAGTCATTTCAACTAACCTGAAAAAAATTTTTTGATGAGCATTGATTACAGTGCAGCTTTAATTTGAATTCTCCCCCCAAAAAACTTCACTGAATATTCACTTGCCTGATAGCAAAATCCACTAGTCTCATGTGCTATAGGACACTTCTTTCTTTGCACGCTGCATGTTTTCGCAATCATGTTGTGTAGCGTGCTTGTCTCAGGCCATGACTTAAATAAAGAGGTATCCTTATATCCTTTCTGTATAGGGTGCTTGTCTAAGAGCATGACTTTAATAAAGAAAAGTGTATTTCATGACTAGACTTCCAGTAACTCCAGTGGACTCTAGTTGTTGACAACTAGAATCTCGTCAAGTATGTTAAACATATGTATTGTGTATTCTTGACCTTAGAACAGATTACTGATCTTCTGAGTGGCTTTCTGTTACAGTGTGAAAATATATTATATATTTAACAATAATAATAATAATATTATTCCATGAGTGTGGGCTGGATATGAGATGGTAGATAGCCAATGAGGTGCATAGTGATGAGTTGGCTATAATCATCTTATATCCAACAAACAGAGTGAATATTATTGTTTATTAAAAACGCCCACAAAATCTCAATGAATCTCCCCAACTTTATTTTGTTAGAACAAACCGGAAAAGACAAGGCACTTCCACTTTTCACGTCAGACGTCTATCAAAACTGTCAATGCACGAATGGACTGGATGAATGAAAAGTCAAAACGTTATAGCAACGGACACTTTTAAAAACTCATTGGGATTAGAGGATTATACACAGTAGAACAGCTCAAAAATTTGCAGATAATGAGATCAAAGAGAATTTTGAAGTGCAGCCATCAAAATTACTGTGAATTTGGATTTAACACGTACATTTTTTTCTGTTATTCAGTTTAGCCAATTCAGAGCAGTGTCAGATGTCCCAACAGAATTTGTTACCAAGAATATATATTTCCATGGCATTGTTAAGGAAGTAAGGTCAGACAACACTCTTGGAATCTCTCACATCCCACTGCTTAGAGGATTTAGCAAGGTTCATTGTTTGTCTGATACAGGTAAAATGTTTAATTACGTAAATTGCCTATGACGAGTGCAGTCCTAATAATATTAAGTTTCTAGTCAACCTTCCTTGGCTTGAGTCAGACCTCCAGAACCAAAGTTATGCTTAACCACAATGCTGTCACCCTTTAGAATCAAATTTACCACTATTGTCATAGGTACCAGCACTGGTTGCATTATTTCGTCGGGAGAAATCTATTTCCAATTTTTTTTATCATTATTATTTAATTATTTCGAAGGCCATAGCAGTGCAAATAATGGTGGAACCTCAATTTTTAACTCGAAGATCACATTAAGTGGTGTGTGGAATAAGGCTGATTGCATGGCAGGCTTTTAGCCAGACATTGAAAACTGGTGGTCCAGAAGGCATGCATAATTTCCTGTAAAATTATAAGAGATTAGGTGAATTTTCCTTGTATTTCTTTGACAAAAATGGTAATCCATAGGACAGCTGGACACCCTTCTGGCTAAACCTTATTCCACGGCTGATGTAGTAACTGGTTCACAGCTGTATTATCACAAATTACATAAAGCTTTATTGCAGGCAAAAATATTAAATTTTGTCTTATTTCCCCAGCCGGGATCTCATCCCAGAATAATCTTCTCAATGTTAGTTTACCAGGAGTGGAATTGAGGGAAGGAGGACACCAGTGGCTAACAGACAATGTTATGTTGGCTAAAGTGCATATGATCCCATTACAAATCACTGCCAACAACACTTTAGACTGCATTCTGTACAAGAGGCAGGTAAATAATATCCAGTCGAACTCCTATGTGTGTCCACCTTACCATTTATCCAAAACACTAAAATTTTCCCAGTCAAATCACAGTTGGAATCTCTCATAAAGCATCACCTCTCTTAAGCAACTGCGACTACTTTTTGGGATGGCGGCGTTAGAATTTTCCTTTGTTTTTATCCTCCTGTAAGCGGCACTTAATGCATAGTTTATCTCTATGCTCATTCTATGTACTTCACCACTATTAAGACAATGTGATGTACTGGTAGTGAAAACATGAAACTAGACATATCATGATCTAGAAATTGCAGGCAACAAATTTTCTTACCAAATATAAATCTTTGTGTTCAGTCCTCTTCTGTCAAGGGAGCCCCTGTGCTTCAATTCTCATAAGCTTTTAAGTTTTCACATTTTGGGTATTTGCTTACAGGAGGTTTGACTGCAGTACAGGGGATGGCAAATGGTCTGTGGCAGATCTAGGGGAGGGGCACAAACCCCTTACATTTTATATCCAAGCCAGCCCTGCAGGGCCAGTAAAATTGTCATGCAGAGTGATCCTCATTTGATATCTCAAGGGCTGGTTCTGCCACCAGTGGTACCTAGAAGATGTGTAACTAGGAAATGTTTGATCCTATGTGAAAGTTTTTAAGCAATAATTCACTAGATAGTGTTAACTCATTAGATATTGTTCAAGGCTGCTGCCAAACGGGTGCCCGGTCCCCAGAGATGCCTACAATTTGCCCACGGCCACCAAAATTTTAAATAAGGAGCCTGCACGGGCACCTAAAACTTATGATTCTTATGCTAACTTCTAGTGAACGAACAAAATTCTCAGCTTATTAGTGGCCCTTGAATGTTAGCTGACCTTTACTATGCTACTATTTGTGCCCTTATGAGTTGGACAGACAATAAATTTGAAGCTTATTGATCAACCCATTAGTGCACCACTTATCGTGTGCTAGAAGTTGACATATTATCATGAGTTTTTTTTTTTTTGAATTGGCTCCTAGAAATGGGGCTGGGGCTCCTAACTTTTTATTGTAGGAGCCCAAAGGGCTCCCAGAAAATTTTCTTAGGCAGCAGCCTGGAGTGTTAAATGTACAATGTTTTGCGCAATTTCAATGGTCTGTAAGAAAATAAACAATGGAAAATTTGCTATTTCATTGAGAGTTTCAAATGTCTATATTTTATGCAAAGTTTCTTTCAAAACTGCTTCTAAGAGACAGAGAAGAAAACATTGTACCATCATTACATCATTTCCATCTCTGTTCTCTCTTAGATCATAGAAATTATTTCAATCAATGAGGATATAAGAAATTGCCTTAGTTGTAAAATATGGGAACAACAACTACCTAACATTGAAAAACTTAATCAATGTTTTCTCCTTTACAGGGTTGGTTTCAATCTAAGTGTGTGAATGAGGAGTTGATACGTCAAGGCGTGGCAGTAACAGTCCATGTGCCCACACTCTCACATAGTCTACCTTATCACGAATTACAAAGGAGACTTTTGAAAGCAGAATTGCGAGCTGAGAAGAAAGGGGTTGGCATCTGGGTAAAACCGTCACTGTTAGAAAGACTACAAAACATGATCTCCTTTCCAGCTCATAGGATGAAGCAGGTGATCTCTGCTGCTCAAAATCTCTCATTCACAAGGATTTTTTCAAGAAAAAAGAAAGACAGCTAAAGGCAATGTTGACAAAAATTATTGCATGTACGTCTTCAAGTGACACGTGCACCAGACGTGGACATGATGGATTATTCAAATATAATCAATGCTCTATGTGTGGAAGTACCCTGGTCAGATGTTTTTCTCATTCTCCACACAAGAACAAGTCATGAAGCAGCAGGGTCGACAAACCTGTGGTTACCTTGGACTAAAATCTGACTCTGTTATCGTGCAGATTTAAGATCACAAACTAAAGATAACATGAGGAAAGGATTGAAAGCTTCAATTGGCCATTTTACAGTTATAGATGGAAATGAGGCTGGAGTCGACCTTGTTTTGAAACATACAGCTGTACCTCTTCCTGCTGCTAACTAGTATTCTGCAAGTATAATTTCCATAAGAAAACAATTAAAGGAGGTTCGTATCCAAGGAAGGTCAATCCAGCGTCACTCTATGGTGAATGTGAGGAGACTAAGGAACTAAACCCAATGTTCAGATTTTGTTCAGGTGCAGTTATTGAGAGTGAGTTCAGGGCAAGGAACACCGATCGAATCCACTGTTGGTACTACTCAATGTTTTTTGGTTCAGAAATAAATTAATTTGAGGAAACTTAAGATCCTAACAAACTAGCCTTATTCAGCTTACTGAACATCTTGGACTGTGACTCATGACGAAGGTCTCAGAGAATTCAAAAGAGCACAAGTGTCATTTGACCTTATCATTAAGGTTTAGTTTTATTTGTTCAAAGGATGATTTTCAAAATAATTATTGTTAAATACATTTCGAAAAAAATAGCACTGAGCAGACGTCCTAAATAAAGAGACTTTATTTGAGCAAATTTTAACTTCTTAACCAGTGGCTATGATGTTAGTGTTAACATAAAAAAGACTCCANCCCCCCCCCCCCCTCCACATCCCCCAATATCATTAACTAAATTTGATTTTGGGAGTAAGGAAATTATTAGATAAATTATTAAATTATTAGGAAGCTAAATTAAGCATCATGTTTGTGACAAACAACAAAGATGACCAACTGTCCATATCTTCATGTCATTGATTGTGAATGCCAATTAACTGCACATGCTGTTGGCAACGTGAGAATAACAGTTTTTACCTTTCTGAAAACCTTTGGGGAAGAAGTGTCCTTGCATTAGTTTTGTAGTAAAAATTTTAGTTACTTTAATAACAATTTAAATCTATTTTATTGTATTTTTTAATAATATTATTATGCTCACCTCTGCTGTTTGCCTTGATAAGAAATAAAAGACATAATGTTTTGCTCTCAAAAAGTTGAGTGGGAACAGGGTGGAGATTACAAAACAGCTATTCAATAAAGTTTCATGGTACTTAGAAAACAAATTTGGAGGCCCCTGGGATTCATAAACAGGATTGTCATCAGTTGAAAGATAATTAATTTTGTTACTAAAGACCTCTAGATTCAAGGACGAGGATGACTACGAGTACGAGATTTGACTTCAAGTTTTTTTGCGTCTTCTCAAAATAAAGACTCCCCAGAAAGCTTCAGTTTACCATTTTTCACTAGAAAAGTTAGCACTGTTACCTTTAATGAAGGAGGTTACACCCTCTCCCAATCACAAAATGATAAAACTTCTAACATTTGATAACTTGTTTTTGCCACTTTGACATTCTCGCTAAAACTCGTGGTAGAGTGACAATGGCTACCACATTTTCCCACCAAAATGACACTGGCTCACGCACGAGCACTAGTCAGTACTGAGAAAATCTCTTATTTGTTGTCGAACTTGTCTTAGAGTCTAAAGCTCTCTGTTATATTATCACCCATTTATGCATGTGTGAAAATAAAGTTTTAAATGTGGATTTGCCTATTATTCAATTTTAGACTTAAATAAGCTGGCCCTAGTTGTTCAAAAGCTGGAAGGCACTATACATTGGATAAATCACTATCGACCAGGTAAGCATTAGGGAAGGCAATTGCACTATCCACTGGATAGAGATTTATCCAGTCAGACAGTGCTATCAACCTTTGAACAACTGTGGCCTGATGTATAGAATAGATAGATAGATAGAAATAAAGGTTGATTTCTAACTAGTATAAAAATTATATATATTGATTATTGATAATAAATTAATAATAACTAATTTATATTAAACACCTTTTTTGAATTAATGAAATAATGATTACACTAGCTATTACTTAGTGGTATGAAATTTTTGGCAAATTTCACCACCTTTACAGCAAAATGCCAGTCCATGTACAATAACTCCCAAAAAATTAGTTGTCATACAATCAATCTCTAATGGCTCTGAGCAAAACGTTTACTTCCTAGGCGACAATTTTGCTCAATTATTTATGGTTTAAGTGCTCCAAAAACGAGCAGGCTTTGCACATTGTTTATTTTCAAATCCCCCATAATACAGTACACTCTATCTGCCCTCCCTAATATCCACATACAAATCCTCCAAACTGGTCTCTATGCATGATTATAGAATAAGTTGAGTGAATTTGATAAACGATCAAAGTATTTTCCCTTAGGTGATTATTTGTAGTTGTTTCATCTCACAACCTTTTCTCTTGATTGTGTATTGATATTGTTTGGAGAAAATAAGATTGTCCCATATTGTTTAGTGACATATGAAACAAAGATGGCTGCCTGTAAAGAGCTCGATCCTGACAAACTTACAAAAAAAGAGGGGACTGTGAACATCTAGGAAAAAATTAACATTTTTCAGTTCACTTTCGGGACTTGAAGGGATAATAAATTATTGTTTTTGAATGGGAATAATTTTATGCAGTCTAACAATTTATGCAAAATTTGGAGGGCAATCAGATTGTACATGCATTGCATGGCAGGGATGGCAGAGCACAATTTCAACTGGGCAGGTGGGGAGGCTTGAAAACTTGCACGGGAGATGCGAGTTTGTTGGGGGAGGGGTCCGGGGGCTTCTTCCCCTAGAAAATTTTGAAATGTGGAGGCTCGGAAATGGTATTTTCAACATTCTCAATGACATATTTCTCTGAAAAAAACTCAACTTGGATAAGGTTTTGAACAAAAACATTTTTCCCCTAGAAAAGTTGCCCTCCCCCAAACAGCCCCCAAGGCTCTGCCGTCCCTGCATGGGAATGGACAATAGAGAATGGCATATACTCAGGGGTACCCAACGACTGTTTTCTGTAAAACATCTGTTCGGAGAACCAAATATTGCCCAGAATTTTCTATTACTTGAGGATGGCTAAAAATTTCTAGAGGACCATTCCATTCATGTACAATTATAATATTTTTGAAGCTTTATGCCCTACGATTTTCTTAAGTTTATTTTGCCACATTTCAGTGCCCTGGTTAGGCAACTTTTCGTAGAAAAAAGGAAATCTGCGGATTAAAAAATGTGATGGAGAGAAGAAAACATAGGAAAAATTCTCACTTTCGTAATATGCTAAATTGCATCTTAAATTTTCGGGAAAATAAAACTGAAGCCCTTGTAATTTCAAAAAGATCCAAGTTCCCCTGGGATGACCGAACAGATACAAATTTTACGGTGCCACTTAGAATGCAGTTCTAGAGCTCTTATAAAAGTACAGCTAGATAACCTAAAAAGTGTTTTCGATGTATTTAGGAGGAAACTGTCATTGGGTGTCCCTGATATACTGTCAGTAATAAAAGAAATTCAGCCACAAATTGAAGACCTACCTCAAAGAACACACAGAAAATCATATCAATTTTCATAAATTCTGATTGTTTTGCCCAGGCCTCGGTTGTTCAAAAGATAGTTGGATAAGAGTGCTATCTCCCGGATAAATCTTTTTCCAGTGGACAGGGTCGATAAGTTTATACAGAAACCAAAAACATCCAATTATAGAGGATAGAAATTCCAGTGGATAGCATCCACCTTAATAAACAACTGGAACCTGGCAAAACTGGATACAGTCAAAACTGTCCTCTGTTGGCCTCAAAGATACCAAACTTTATCAGCTTGACTGTATAATTCCTACCTCTTAACTAACAATGACACCTTTTTAATTTGTACTTACAGTCAGGCCACGTCAAGAGACCCCCAATCTTCCATTAATGAATTTATAATTCAAAAGTTGAATCCTGTGGTAGTTGTAGATTTCAGATTCATCTCGGTATTCTTGCATGCGTAATGAGCCGACGTGAATTCACAGGCAAAGGCAGTTACGGAATTTCTACCATCTCAGTTTCCCTGAATTGGATGTAAACATCGTCCATTCAAAGATTTTCAATCTGACCAAATACAGAGAACGTTCTCGTAAAATATAAACTGCTCATCACGCATGCAGGAATGCCAATTTGAATTTGACACTAGTTACAGGAACGACTAACGGATTCATTTTTCAAATAATCAATTCATTAATAGAATCTTGCGGGGTATGCTTGACCTGCCTTAACTGTTAAGTGCAAGAAAATTATGTATGTACTTCAGTCTGGTGTC